TTTCGAACTAGTGTTTCGATACGTACTGCTAATTGTTTGATGGTTTCATTTGGTAATCTGCGAATTTCATTACATAAAACTCTTTGTTGTTGTTTGTTTCTCTCGGAGTCAAACATTTTTGAAAATTCTTGTGTAAATCTTTTCCAATTTGATTTTATTTCTATAGGCAATACTGAAAACCATTTTTGGGCTGCGCCGTCTAAGGTTGTCTGTATCAACGCTGTGCGTCGATGTATCCAGTTTTGATGTAGTGGCGTATTAATTGGTTCAGGTCCTATATTTAAAATTAAATTTGCTGTTACTGCATTTAAATAATCTTCTACAGAATATTCAGGGTCTGTTCCTGTGAATACCATTAATGGTTTGTTTGATGTTATTGATGATCCACCCATAAGGTATGGATTCATTGTCATTTGTAATGATTCTGCTGCATTTGGCATTTGTGAAAAATTTGAAAGTTGATTTTTTGTTATTTCGTGTTGTTGAAGGTAATATGGAAGTGGTATTTCATTTTGCATTTGTGTTGGTTGATACGAGTGTGTAATCATTGGGTTTTGTGGCTGAATTGGTTGAAAAGATTGTGTATTAATTGGGTTCTGCATTTGTATTGGTTGTTGATTTTGTGTATCTGTTGGGTTGGGAGAAAAAATTCTATGATATGTATACGGTTTTTGCACTCCTTGTCCACGATATTCTTGAGTGTATGGTGCAAATATATCTGGTTGTAAATAATCATCATCAGAGGATAAATAATCCGTTTGATGAGATGCTTGCTTTTTATTTTATTCTGTTGAAAGAGTGGGTAATTTTCACTACGATCCTGTGGAGGATGTGAATTAGTTTGAAAATTTACTGAATTGGTTGTTGCCATTTGGTTATCCCAATATCGAGATCTTATCTGATTATTATTATTATTTCGGGGGGGATAGTTTGTTTTTGATAAATGTGTGTAATTATAATTGTGTTCCGCAAAATTGTTTCTTGTGAATGTTCTGCGTGTTTTTGACGGTATTGTCATGGGTCTATATGTTTGATAATCCATTTGTGAATATTTTGGAGCAACCGAAGGTTTAACGGTTGACTGTAAGGTTACCTGTGCTAGTGAAGTGTTTGTATTTCTTGGTGTTGTTAAATTTGGACGTATCGGTGAAATACTTTGTTGTGTAGTTGTTGTTGTTTGTACAATTTCTTCATTTATGAAGTGTGATGGTGTCTGAATATCTTGCTGAGTGAGATTCCTAGTTCCATTAAGGTTTTCATTGTGTATGACGGTCGAGTTTAAGCTGTTATTTCGCGTATCCGGTAGAAATGTATTGTAGTTTAATGGTGTTGCATCAATGGATAATGGTATTACTCTTACATAATCTCTTGTATAAGATATTGTATTTATTGCTTGACTTGAGATTGATTGTGGGAAGTTTATGAATGCGGGATGAGACCATTCGGGGTCCCAAACATAGTCTGATTGTTCTGAAAAAGCAGTGTCGTCATTTGTATTTTGAGGTCTGAAATTTTTTCTTGCTTGTGAAATTAAATCTATATTATGTGTGAAATAATCAATTATAAACCATGCCAAAATTTTTTGTAAGTCATGTTTTGTATGTTGTGAAACATCATCTTTAGTGAAATTTTCTTTAATTATATGTAGAAAAGTTGAAAATAGTGTGATTTCATGTCGTACCCTTATATGTTTAGATGTCTCTGTCGGTGAGACACTTGGGATTGGGATTTCGTTTTCTAATATTGAGATATAACTATATATTATGGCAAAAACTTCATTAGTGAATATGGAGTTTGCTCTTTGTGAGTTATGATATTGAATGCTTTTTATGTATTCTGAGAATACTTTTGAAAATTCTAAATCAAGGTCGTCTGTTTGAATTACATATTTGTGGTGATTCGGGTTTGGTGAGCTGAATTCTATGGTGTAGATTCCGTATTGTTGTGTCAAATTACATATGTCTTTCAGATAGTGATCAATAATTTGTCTTTTTATTTTTACATCTGGGAACTCTGTTTTACATGGGCTAATTCCGGGTTCAAATAAATTTAGTAGTAAATTCTTGCAAAGTATATGCTGTCCTCTATCATTGGGTGCATCTACGAGGAAGGGGAAGATATCGTCATCATCTGGACTATCTTCACTTGGAGTGTGTGTTTGGCTCATTTTTTCGTTTAATGACTGTTAATAGGTAATTATCGATGTGTCTAATTGGTTGATTCCAGTTGTATAAGTGTACTGGTTTGTGTTTATATTGCTTTTTTATTCGTCTTTTTCCTCTTTTTGATGAATTTGAAGTTGTTTCTGAGTCGGAAAAATATAATTGATCGTGAATGGGGCAATTTTTATCTATAGATTCTTTTAATTTATAAAGTTCGTCTAAATTGCTGGCTTCTGATTCTGAAAATGCGTTTCTATTTTTGGAAAATCTTTTTCGTGTTATTTGTCTTTGTTTGTTTATTATTTTCCTTTTTAGTGTTTGTCGTTTTGATCTAATATATCCAACTGTTTGTGTATGAGGTGTGATTACAAGGTCGTATTTTTTGTTATCTATTTCACAGTTGTGTAAAACGATTGTTTGTTTGTTTCCTAGATTTTTAAATGACATAAGGTTTAGGATGACGGATGCAAAAAGTTGTTAGATGATTTCTATTTTCTTAAATTGTTAGTCCTTACGATTTTTTGGTTAGCTTAACCTGGGTCTATTGTTCAGGGTTGGAGAGAAAAGTATATCGATTCCGAAGAATGATTTTTTACTTTCTCGTGGCTAGTATAAGCTAAGGTGTTAACTTACTTAATCTTACTTAGGGGTAATGATTGTGTTCAAGGGTTGGAGAATAGTAAATCGATCCACAAGGTTCAGGTATAATTAGAACGCGAGTAGTTCGTTAGATACTATTTTAAACTTACTAAGTCTACGATTTATCCTGGGTCTGGTAAAAGGAGGGTTCAAGTGAAGGATGAATAACCGAAGTTCTTCACTGTTTATCCTAATTTGAATGATTAGTGTTGTTCAAAAGTTTCTATTAGTCTTGGGTTTTTTGAAAGGGTTGGATAGTGAATCGACGTTTGAGGTCGTTAGACACTAGCTAAGTGGGTGGGGAAGAACAAAATTGTTCTTTTTGATCCAAGGATATGCCTTGATGATCAAGTTTAAATTTAATTAAATAGAAAATGAATTAAGATCCAAGGATAAGCCTTGATGATCTGATTTTAAAATTAAGTGAATTTAAGTTTAAAATGGTTTAAATTTATTTAAGAAAAGATTTAGTGTTTTAATGATATTAGTGAGCTTATGATTGCTGTTATGTTTTAGGTGATGAAGCTGGGACAACTGATGATTTTATGATTACTAACAGTTTATTGTCATGCTACTAATTTTTATTTTGATTTTCAATAAATATTTTCCAAACATGTTTTTTATATAATACTGCAGAATTTTAGGAAAACGATCTGAGATCTTTTTATCAATCGTTATTGTATATTAATAGTTTTGTTTAGCGCCTGCAATGATTATGAAGATTGACTTCAAGATTTTATGTTTGCGAATGAAAATCTAAATTCATTGCTAATAAAATTCTAAATATAAAAGTCTGTGTTGGCTTTTGCCGTACTATCATATAACTATTTGGTAAGTTTCTACTTTGTCGTATGTCGTCTCTGGTTCGAGGTCTTCTTGCAATTCCGGGTAGTTCTGTTATCGTTCGGAATATTGGCTCTGATCTATTGAGTCGTAGAGACATTTCGATTAAATTATCGTCGTATAACATTTTAAAAATGTTTTGTCTAAATTCTAATCTATTTTTGGTTAATTCTAAGCTATTAAGGTCTTGTTCGAGACTTATGGTCGCACCAGATGAGTTATGACCGAAGTGGTTAACTCATAGAGTAATTTCGGATAGGGTACACCGTCTGCTCGTCACGCTATCTTATTTTCGGCCGGATAGATTCGTGCAACTTCTTAGTCTAATACCGATCCTAATCTTACTCTTATACTATCTAGTCTCAGGTTGTTTAACTAGTCTCTGCTAGGCTCAATAGATCTAGGGTATACTGGTTTATTGCGGCTGCTGAAGTTCTCTTGGAGAGACAACTAATTTCTAAGTTAAATTCAAATCTCTCTGGTCCTGAAATTACAAGTAATTCCAGCACTTACAAATAAGTGGGTTGTTAGTTAGATGGATCATGATTGGTTAATATTAAATACTTTACAGTGGTAAAATATCTAATTTATCCAATCATAAAATGTAGTTAAGATCAGGTTCCATATTTACACTTGGATCAGATTAGTGTTTTATTACGAGCCTTCTTTTTTTCTAACCTAACTCGCAAATAAAAGTGTTCTCTAATATGGAAATTTTGTTGTAGCATTGGAAATTGCGTAGCATCTATTCTGTTTATTTTTGGCTAGAGTTTGGTGCCTAATAAGCTTCCGTGGCTGAGTTGTTAGTCTGTGAAACTCGTTGTTATTTGAACTTTTTTTTAACCTATGTTCAAACTCAGCCATACTAAGCAAGTAACCAAGATCTTTGCCGAAGCCCCACCCTCGAAGGTTATTTTTGTTCCTCCACCCAAAGTTGGCCCTTCATAACAAGTCTTCTACATAAATACCCGCTGTAAGCTCTCTCAATTCCGGTCCGGTTATAACCGGCTTTTAAACACCTACCTAGCTCCCTTTCCCCTTTATGCCCAACATGTTCCCTTGCACTCCTTACTAGTTGACACGTTTTCAACTCTCCCAAAACCCCCTCCCTACATACCCCTGTAGCTTGGGCCAGTGAATACCGCGAAGTTCCTAGACCTGGAGACGGACGAGCCCAATCCGATTCGGTCTAAAGTAACAACAAAACAATCTAATCTGTTTGCGCAGCAACCAGTATTTCATTTTTTAAATCACTGATTTCGCTTTCTTGTTTTCAATTGTAAAATTAAACGTGTTTTTGAAGTGTATTGGTTGACTTTGATGTGAGTTTGGTTATCTTTTCAATTACTTCTTTAGATATGTCTAAAGTCCAAGACGACGAAGTCGGAGACGGAACCACATCTGTCACAGTGCTCGCTTCTGAGCTCCTCCGAGAGGCCGAGAAGCTAATCGCCCAGAAGATTCATCCTCAGACCATCATAGCTGGATGGAGAAAGGCGTGTGACGCTGCCAGGCAAGCTCTGGAAGCTGCTACTTCAGACAATGCAAATAACGACGAGGCTTTCAGGAAAGATCTGTTAAACATCGCTAGAACAACCCTAAGTTCTAAATTGTTGACTCACTTCAAAGATCATTTTGCGAACTTGGCCGTTGATGCTGTAATGCGTCTTAAGAAGCGCAATAGCGATTTGGAGAGCATTCAGATTATTAAGAAGTTGGGTGGCCGATTGGAGGATTCTTTCCTAGATGAAGGTGAGTGTTTGTATTAATGAATTTTAAGCGGTTTTGATTGTCGAGATGTTAAATGAAGAATAAATTTTTGATGATGAACGGTTTTATTATACATAAGATTTCAACAAATTGAACTGCTTCACACTTTTCATCCTGGTTGACGACTGACATATTCTTATATGGAACCACGACATCATCAAAAAGGCTTTTAAGACTGCTCTGCCAATCATAAGTTCACTGCTTGAGTCTGTCGTGTAATGTTTCTTCTGAAATGCGCGAGTATCATTCATTGGTGACCTATCAGAATAGGCAACTCTAAGTAATTTAAATCGTAACTTGAACAAGTTTTGCTATTATTTTAATGTAATATTTTAATGAATAGGTAATATTAATTGATTTATATCTAAAGTTTAACATATTTTGCGATAATTTTGAGCAATTTATGAGTTTTTCATAACATTTAATCTGACACAGTAATGTGTTTTTCAAAAACTGTCTCAGTAGCATGTACAGTTGAGTGAAAATGAAATTAATGTCATGTATTATAGTTCTCAAATTTAATACATAAGCTACTCAATAGTTCTCAAAGTTGCCAACGAGTGTAATATTGCTTGTAATATAAAGTTGAATATTGTTGTGAGTTTTGTTTGCTTTTAGGGTTCATTCTTGAGAAGAGCATCGGAGTGGGGCAGCCGAAGCGACTTGAGAATGCGAAGGTGCTGCTGGCCAACACGCCCATGGACACAGACAAGATCAAAGTGTTCGGGAGCAGAGTGAGAGTGGACTCAGTGGCCAAAGTGGCCCAGATAGAAGTGGCCGAGAAGGAGAAGATGAAGGAGAAAGTGCAGGCCATACTTAAACATGATATCAACTGCTTCATTAACAGGTACACACTATCAATCTATTTTTACAATTTCCCCAATTGCAGACTGTGGGTAATTCGTCACTAGGTACAATATTTGCCTACGCTTACCCGGTGAATTTATTCCTTAGGGGTTGATAATTGTTCCTAGATGCAAAAGGGGGAATCTTCATAGAGACCATGAATTTGTTTTCTGACGACAAAATCGACAGTGATGAATTTGATGTTATTCATCCTTGATTCAAAAATGAGTCTTCTAGTTCATTAGCATAGTGTTTATCCGTTTTTATCGGTGGCTAGTGTTTCGATGACAGCAAGCTTATATGGTGCAATTGTCAAGACATTGGCATCTAGACCTGTAGGTTTGAAGTTCGTAACCCGTAGGCTTATTCTTTTGATCAATTTAGAGCTCCCTTTTGCTATTTTTGTTGCCTGTGTTTGCTAAGTGCATCTTCGTCTGTGTTAACTAGTCTAGCTTCAAAATTAACTCCTTTTTGAGCCGAATTGTTGGATCTCACAGCTTCGTATAATTTGTTTTTTTTTCTAGACAGCTGATCTACAATTATCCTGAGCAATTGTTTGCTGATGCTGGAGTCACAGCGATAGAACACGCAGACTTCGAGGGAATCGAACGTCTAGCGCTAGTACTGGGCGGTGAAATAGTGTCCACTTTCTGGAGTCCGGGTCACGTGAAACTAGGCCAGTGTGACCTAATCAGTGAGGTAAGTCCAAGTTTGGTTAAAAACACCTGGTCTATTTCATGTTCTGAATATACATTAAGGTCGAACTTGCTAGGCAGGAAATATATCATCAATCTATATCTTTATTGGTTAATTACGTGTTTTCCAAATTGTACACCAATATATTCAATAATTTGATAACGGTTAGTCTGGATAGCTTGTCAAATACCAACGTTTTGCGTTTTTGTTTCGGCCCTCACCTCAAAAAGAGTGGGAAGATACTATGACTTAGGGTGTGTTTGGCCAGCTCAAAAGGGTTCAAGCTTGTTCTTGTTTTTCAAACTTAATTTTCAGACTGAATTTCCCATCAAGTTGTTCTGTTAATTTAACTGCTTTGTCCGAACTATTTAAACTTGCGCCAACTATTTAAACTTGCGAGAGCAAGTGTCTTGTTTGAACTAATTTTTAAAGCTCACCTTGATATTTGCAAAAAAAAATCAAAAAATTTCTGATTGTTTCCTGACTTGCATTTTTGGTTATAGAAGTTCCCGTGGTCAGAATATTATGAGCCACTTGCACAGCAACCACATATTATTGTTGACATTTGGCCTTTATTCAAAAGTCGAAGTGTTCAGTTCCAAAAAAAAAGTATTTTCAATCTTACCGTCATGTGAGATTTTCAGTGATATTAAGGTCGCATATAAAGGTCACAATGATTTTTTTCGTTTTTTTTCAGGAGAGGAAAAATTTGTTTACATTACTTTTTCGCTGTTTGACTTTTGATTTCAAAGTTCAGTTCTTTTCCTTTATTAAACGAAAGACAAACTCGGCTATCGAACAGCAAAAGTGTAAAGGTCACGAAAAATCTAATTGACTTTTATTCTCGAAAGGGCAATTTATTTTTCAATTTTAATAATCAGATTACCCAGCGAAATAAAAATTTCGTTGGTTCGTGAGTTAATTTTATCAAAAAAATGTCAATCAATGTAAACTGTTCTTAAAATTCTAAGAGCTTCAAAGGCATATATTTTTTACTTCAAATTCGAAGTTTTTCGTTACTGTTTTTCTTGCGTCATTGATTATTTTCCAACTGACTGCTGGCTATGCTTTTACGTTTTAGATTCTTTCAGTGTGAAACCTTTTTTTGCTTTTAGGTGATGATTGGCGAAGACCGCATGATCAAGTTCTCGGGTTGCAAGGGCAACGAGGCCTGCACAGTCATTCTGAGAGGAGCCACCCAGCAGATCCTAGATGAGTCCGAGAGATCCCTGCATGATGCACTCTGTGTGTTGAGGCAAACAGTAAAGGAGACAAAAATCGTCTACGGAGGAGGTTCGATTTTCATTTACTTGTTGCGGTTTGTAGCTTTGCACTGGGAGGCACGTCTTGGGAGCGAATTATTTGAAGTACTCGCTTGGAGTAAAGTGACAGGTTCATTGATAGCGTGTGTGCTTCCAATCTATTTTTGCCCATTGGTAGAATTCTCAGTCAGATAATGGTCGTTTCTGATGTATCGCTCAGTTCGTGTCATTAAGGTTAAAAACATTTGAGAAATTTTAAATCTCAAATGTTTTTTGATATAGTCTAGAATGTTTATAGGCTAGAATGTTTACCTCTTTTTCCTTTCCTCTCCCCTCTTTCATAAATATAATTTTTATGTATCATCCAGTTGGCTTACAAAAATTTCTACGAGATTTAAATATGATGACTTTTTGGTAATTAGTTCACATGCAACGGTTGATTATAATCAAAAATGTGAACAAAATTTTTTTCACATGTATAGGGGAGGGAAAAGCTGGTAATTTTTGAAAAATTAGTTCTTTTCATTGAAACTCAATAATTCGAAAACTATGGAATAGTCTGAATAGTCCTATAATAAAAGTAGGAATGTTGTAATGCAGTAGATACTGTTTCTGTTAGGATGCTCTGAGATGCTGATGGCGACTGCAGTCCGCAAATTGGCCGAGAGCACTCCTGGAAAAGAATCGATCGCAATGGAGTCATTTGCGAAAGCACTGGCCATGCTTCCAACCATTATAGCCGACAACGCGGGATACGACAGTGCAGATCTGGTGTCACAATTGAGAGCTCAACACACAGATGCCAAAAATGGAAGGTATATAATTAAAAATTAATTGACACGAGCGTCTTTTGAAGATTTACGTTGCAGTTTTCGATAGAATCATAAGCTCAAGCGTTCTTGTTACGACCATTCACGGAATGCGAAGGCACTATAGAGTTTTTTGTTCAAGTTTCGGTACCTTGAGAAACGTCCAAGGGGTTAACTTATATTTTAACTTGACTTATTCTTAAATTGACATAATTGAATTAAATTGACTTATTAAGGTCGTTTGGTTTTCACAGAAATTTGTGCATTCTGAAATTTAGCTTTTGGCGATTGGGTTTGTGAAGTTCGCATTCTTAATTCAATGAATTGTGGGCAATTTGCGCTCTTTTTTTATCGTGTGGACTGCTAGAAACGGATGTCAATTTGGAGCAATTGATAATTTAAAAATTAATAGTAAATGGAGTTGCAACTGGACATAAAAACAATTCTTTTCTCCCCGTATCCACGCTCCTTCACGCAAAAATTTGAAGGTTGCGTAGGAAGGCGAAGCATGTTTGGAATGTGGTTATTAAATCTCATTACAGTGGTAAAGTTACATATACATAACAATAAGAGCTTAAGTTATTCAAGTGTTAATGAACGATGCGAGTTTTTTACTGAATGTATTGGTGCTTTTTTGTTTTTCTAAAGAGAAAATCTTAAAATTTGTCCAGAGGCGGAAGTTAAATTTTTTGCGGATTTTTTTTCTTATTTATTTCTTTTGTCAAACTGAAGTAAAACTGTAGAGGTCACAAAAAGTAGGTTTAATTTCTCAGAGTTTCCAGCGATAAAATACAAAATGATCCAGCTTTCTCTAATTGGGTTAATTGTCCGAACTTTGGGCCTATCTATTTTCTTCGTTAAAAGTCGACAGTTTAGAAATTTGTTTATCTTAAGCCAGTATTTTTGTCATTACTTGCGTTCATTGACTCCTTTCCAACTGTAACTGGTTATTGTTAATCATGGAAGGTACTTAAAATTAAAAGGTCGTTTTGTTTTTTTTCGGTCACCTTGACACTTTTGCAAGTTTTTGCTGGCTATGGGATTTCTTGTTTCAATTCGCTTTTTGGAAACAGGAAACAGAGCTTTTTGTAAATTTTGAAATAGAAGACAAGTTTTATTAAGAGTCGTGCACGTAGTGAATACTCTTACATAGGTCTTGATAATTTTTTTTTCAGGAAATTTTTTTGAAATTTGTGCACAGTCAAGTTTGATTTTTAATTTCTTTTTCAGTTCATTTCCTTTGTTGAAAGAAAGGCAAACTCAACTATCGAAAAGTGAAGGTGTTAAGGTCACGAAAAACATGATCGTCATCGAGTTTCGAATAATTTTGATTTTTAGATTTCCCTGCGGAATGAAAAAAAGTTTACCTATTGCTTCAGTTTTCTCAAATTAAGTTAAATTTATCTAAAGTAAGTCCATCAAAGCTTTTTCTTCAAATTCAAAGAGCTTTATTTTTAAATCGAAATTTGAAGTTTTTTTCATAAAAGAGTTAGTTTTTTTTCTGTTTCCTTGCATTCACGACTTTTTTCCAACTGTCTGTTGGCTATATTTCTGTTTGTTTGTTGTGCAGATGCACTGCTGGACTGGACATGGAGTTGGGGGAGATAGGAGACATGGTCCAGTTGGGCATCACTGAGTCATTCAGTGTGAAGAGACAGATGCTGTTAAGTGCAGCTGAGGCAGCCGAGATGATCCTCAGAGTCGATGACATCATCAAGTGTGCCCCCAGGTATTATCCTCAATCATAACTTGTCCATCCCCAGTCGTATGTCTTCAAAAACTCGAGTATTTTACTCCAATGCTTATTTTCCCTTATGCTTTCATGTCCGGGGATATTTGAAAGACGGGAATTGTTTATTGCTTTTGCCTTAATCAGGGGTAAAAACTTGGTTCAGCTCATCAACAGATATTTATGAGCAGGATAAAGTGTCTCTCCTCGACAAAAACGCTTAATTTTTGATTAAAAGTTCACGCAAAATTAAGCTACGATTTCGATTTACCCGTTGGCTGAAGAACGACGACTCGTTAAACTTGAAAGTTTGACTGACGAGTTGTTAAACTTAAACGATCAGAAAACGACTAGGATTGAAGGGCTTCTAGAAATCTTTCATTTTAAATGACCGTTTTCGGCACTAATGTGCTACTCGTCATATACGAAGTGAAACTTAAAATCTCAAAACCTTGAAGTTTTTCTGAGTCAAGAAATTGAGAACATTTTAATGTCATTGCAGGGCTCGGAAAGGGGTAATTTAAACTAAAAATCTCTTCGTCTTCAGTCTCATTTACTTCTGTTCTTCAAATTGAACATTTTTACAGGGTTCCTTTTTAAGCTGTTTTTATGTAATAATGTTTCAGGCAGCGAAGAAACGATGAATGTATGTAATAAAGAGGAATAAAACGCAACAATACTAGCTATGGGGTCATTTGAACAACAAGCATTGCATCCGATGCCTTCCGATAGTCAGCCACAGTTCAGCTAGGATGAAATTGATAATGTGTGAATATGAAGTATATACCCTTTAAATGCCAAGTTGACTGCTAATTTGAGCTGTGATGAATTATTGATAAAGTGTATGATCATTGTACATTGCGTGTTAAAATGATTGAGGCTGGTTCTTGAATTGAATCTGATCAGAATGCTTTCTAATTAAGTCTTAGAGTTTTGGAAGTACGGCCGATGGTCAGTGTAAAAGAAGGATGTGACGGACGAATGCTGACAAATTGACATTGAACCCTGAACTAAAAACTGAATTCATTATCACAAGCTTAGTCAGATTTCCATACATTTATTGGGATAAAACAACATTAAGCCCACAAACTGGCTGGTTCTATTAAATAATTGTGAGTCAAAATTGACAATAACTTAAGCTTTTCAGAATATTGCGACGCAGTAACGAAGAAGTCAAACAAGTTAAATATATTTTAACCTCTACAAAAGAAAATCTAAGCCGAAAACTTCTTAACTTTCATTCAGTGGCTCCTCCAATATGGTATCCTTATTTACGCTTGCGATTAGCAAGCGTATTCAAAACAGAATATTGACTTTTTTCGGTTTAACAACTAGTAACAAAATCAATTGAATCAATTTACTGTTCATATGAAATCAAAAGTCAGACAGTAATTCATTGCACTTGGTCTGGAGTAAATGCAGTCGCCTTTGAAACCTAACGTCAGTGGTTTGAGTCCCGGCCGAATTTTTTTTCCAGGAAAATTGATTGATCTGATTTTGGTTTGTCGACTGATGCTTTGTCGGCTTAGATGCCACCCCAAAAAATTTTTGCGCTGTAATCAGTTTTAATTGTAGTCTAAAGTGTCGTTAATTAAATCCTGAAGTTTTTTTTGAATAACTATACTCTCTCTATACTTGATTGGTATATTTGCCGTTTGTTCCTTGATTTTTTTGCTTATTAATTTTATTCTGTCCAAATATATTTTGGCTCTTGTTTTATCGATTCTATGACTTTATTTTGCATCGCTATAAGGATAAACTTGAATATTCATGTTTGTATTAAATCGTGTCAGCTGGTAGTAAAAACGTTCAAACTTTTTAACCGCTCAAAATTTTTTTCAACAAATTCCTTTGTTTTTTTTTCTTTTCGGTTTAAATGGCGTCTTACCACGTGTTGTTGGCTTAGTGAACGCTTGAAGCATACTAGTAGCTTTTTTAGGCTAGTGGTTATGTTTCTAGTCTGTTTTTGTCAGATAGAACGTTTGTAACTCCAAAAATTGTTGAGAATTTTTTAATGAAAACCATTTTCTCTGATATTTTCCAGTCTTTGGATTAAAAAGCGTCTAACCACGCGTTGTGGCTTATTGGAATTCAGAAATTAGGAAAATTTGTGTAAAAACAACTGTGTTTCTTGTCTGTTTTTGAGATTGTGTTTTAGTATTTCCAAAAAACTTTTTTATTTGTCTTTCAAAAACCATTTTCTGCGGTATTTTTTGATTGGTTGGCGTCTAATCACGTGTTGTTTGCCGAGAGGACGAAATATGCTTAATACTAGTGATTGTTCTTCGTCTGTTTTTCTGAGGTTGAATTTTTGGTATTTCAAAAAAGTTAATTGTTTTATGATAACCATTGCTTCTGATATTTTTGTTTTCGAGTCAATTAGCGTCCCAACCACGTGTTGTTGGCTTAATGGACGCTCGGCAAATACTAAAACTTGTTCAATGCTGTTTGTAACGTTTCTTGTCTGTTTTTTCTGAGACTGAGTTTTTCCTGTTTACAAAAAAAAGTTAAATTTTCATGACAAAAATTTCTTTTGGTATTTCTGTTTTCGGATCAATTGGCGTCCAACCCCAAGTGTTGCTGGCTTGATGGACACTCGGAAAACACTTGAAGCTTTCTTTATTTTGGTGATTGTGTTTCTCACCTGTTTTTTTTTCTGATTGAATTTTTCGTCTTTTTAAAAATGTGTTGAATTCTTTATTACAAACATTTCTTTGGTAAATTTTTATTTGGGATCAGTTGGCGTGTAAACACGTGTTGTTGACTTAGTGGAGATTCGTAAATTTTTTAAAGTTGTTTTTTAGTAGTGGTTGTGGTTCTCGTCGGCTTTTCAAGGATTGAGTTTTTTGTATTTTCACTTCAATAAGTTTTTTTTTAGTGACTTCCATCTCACTGACCACTTAGTAGCTTGCAATGGTACGCTTTTGTTGTATCACAAGTTATGCGAAGCTCCGCTTCGCCTCTGTGTTATGAATTTGAAAACAATTTTTTTCCGTTAAAGTTACAGCAAAAAAAGTTTGGTAACCTTTTATCATTAAACCCGGAAAATTTGTGGAAAAAAAATTAAAACAGTTTAAAACAATTTTCTCAGCTTTGAGTTTTATGTATACGAGATCCTCGAAGCAGAAAGAAAGAATATAACTTCAGACCACATAAGCTACCACCCTATCAGAAAATTAGAAAAAGAAAATTTTTTCAATGAGGAGAAGCGAATAAAAAGTTTGTCAAGTTAAATACTTTTAACAGCAGCGAATAACAAAAGATGTTAATTAAAGACTAAATTTTCTACAGCATGCTTACAAAAATTGATTCAACGATTCTAAAAAACCCAATTTTGAAAAAACTTAGCTTTTCTTGATCCAAGCTAAACTAAAGTATAATTGAAACAAAAATTTCATGATTTTTATTTACATTGGTCGTGTTGATTTTTTCTCGTTTTTTTTTCAACAAAATGTCAAATAATACATCCAAGCTCAAATTTGTTTTGTTTCATTGTTTGACTTCATTGTTTAAGGGCCATTGAAAGTCGTGATAATTTTCTTCAATTTTTGTTGAATTTTTGACGCACAAATTTCAATTTTTGTTGTTTGACTTCAGTTTTTTAAGCCTCAGTGCAGTTTGTTTGTTACAAAGAAACCAAACTCCAAATTCAGACAACAAAAGTGTAAAGGTAGCTAAAAGATCAGTTCCTAGTATGGAAAGTCAATTTCGATTTTCACTGTTCCCAGCGGAAAAAACTGGAATTTATTTTTTGGGATTTCGGGATTTATCTATGGGATTTTATCTATGGAAAAATTTGGGATTTATTGGAAAGTTCTCAAACTGGGGTAGATTTATCTTAAGGTCCAGAAAAATTTTAATGACTTCTACTTTAAAAATTGGACCAAAGATTTCTGAACTCCTAGCGGAAAAAAATGATAAGTATTGACAAAACTTTCGCTGAATGCTTTTTTTTCAGAAAAAAAAATAATTTTGAACGGTTTTTGAAATTCTAAGAACTCTGTGAAATTCCAACCATGTTTTTTTGAAGTTTTCTTCAGTTCCGACCATATGTTGGCTTTCTTAATGATGCCCTGAGAAATGCTGGTTATTAGCTGATACATGAACGTTTGAAGATAAAATTGGACTTTAACACAACCAACTGTTCTAGTAAAGGAGAACGTAGTTTTTTTCTAACTTTGTACTTGCTTCTTAACTTCGTTGTTTAAAATCGGAGAAGATTTCATTTTCTTACATAAATGAGGATTCGCTCACTGAATTTTCTTGAGTTGTTCCAAAAAAGGCTCTACCTGCTAAACGGTTAAATGAGTGATATCTTGTACCTCAATCTTTTGAACTTATCACCGAGAAAGATCAAATATTTTTAGCATCGGCAATTTAATAGCAATTGTTTATCCGCCTCATGAAAATACCCAAAGCACATGGCTATTATGCGAATTAGATCCAAACGTTGTTACTCGAATTTGCTTCTGTGCTCATTTTTTTATCTGTTGTTTTATCGAAGTAAGTTTAAGGTGCAAGAAAAGTTAAGCAGCTTCCCAAAAACAAATTTTGTGAGAAATGGACCAGTTTGAGTTTATGTAAGTGCTATCAATTTGTATCTTCTGTCTGGAGACCTGCTGTCGTGACCTTGCGATCTCTAACATCTGGTATGATCTGAAATAGAACGGTGCAGGAAGATTTCGATTTGATGCCTAACAATTGCTTACAATTCAAGTTAACAACTATTCTTTTTCTATTCTACACTTACCACTTCAACATGGCGCAGCCAGCGGAACGAAAAGGAGGGGGAAAAATCCGCTTAATATAGTATCATTCTGGGATGCACGGACGCCAGAACCCCCTATCTATTGGGAGGAGTGGATCATAAAGTTCCACTGGGCAAGATCGCAAAATATGATATTGATCCTGACGATTTTTATTTTGCGCATAAGTCAAATGCGGCGGCCGTTGCAAACTTGCCAGAGGAAGTAAATGGAAAAAACCGTATCGAGTCGGAGAAGAAGTTGAAGTCAAACCTATATCTCTGTATCGGAGACTGAGCGCAACGGATATTTAAGGCCAGAAAACCGGCGGTAAATGTTAAAACAGAAAGGTACCCACGGGTATTGGATGAGATGCAAAATGTCTTCAAGCCTGAACGAAATGTGACCCATGAAAGAGGACTCTTCTATGGACGGAAGCAGAGAGAAAATGAGACTTTTGAGAAGTTCCACGCGGAATTAAGCGCTCTTGTGGGCAGGTGTGATTTTTCAAATGCAGCAGAAAATGTTCGTGATATTTTTATTATGAACATGCGGGAATCGGATTGCCAACAAGAATTATCAAGATCAACAAAGTTACGCGAAGAAGTCTATAGGATCGCATTATCGTATGAACGCGGTGAACGTGCCTATAAATCGTACACTGGAAAACCGGCCTCGTCAGCGACGTCGATAACCATAAAACAGGAGCCAGTTAATAATATCCGGAGGGGACAAGAATTTTTCAGAGGTCGAGGCCGCGGGGGACGCGGAACATACACCCAAGGATCAAGCAGTGGGGGAAAAGGAAATAACCGTAGGTGTTATAATTGCGACGCTTCGAATTTTACTCTTGATCATATTGCGATTTGTCCTTCAAAGGGGGAAACATGTAACTCGTGTCGGAAGTTGGGACATTTTGAACGAACATGCAGAGGAATTAGGAGAGGTACTAACCAGTGGAGAGGACAAGGACGAGTCGAATTAGTGAGGGATGAAAATGAGCATCATCAGAGCATGCAGAGTGTAAGTGATGTGGCAGAAGATCCAGTGGCGTGGGTGAATCAGCAAGGGAGCGGGGAGAATGAATCCATGACGTCAGGTTCTGATGATTACATGGTGATGTCGATCAAGAGAAAGAAGAACGTGACAGAACTGAAGATTCC